TAAAACCGTTTTTTTGGAAAAATACTATCTAAAAACTTTGGGTTTTCCAAATGTCGGGTAGTGTATAATCAACAATCCTGGGATATCAATCCCAGTATTTTGTACATGTTCAATATCCAGCGCTTAATTGTATCGCATCTTTCAATATTTCTAGTTGATTAAAATTTAATAACCTTTCCTCCAATGTATGCAAAAACAGGCTGTAAATAATAAAAGGCAATATTTCGAATGAGTCGTTGTATTCGTGGTGTCTGTAAATCATTTGACCTTTTCTTAAGGGATTTCGGGTCAGATGTTCTCTCATATATGCGTGGTCTAGCTTTAGATAATAAGCTTGATTAAATATTCATGGCTCGAGTCCATATTGATATTCCTTTGTTGGGTGCTGCCTGAGAGAATGGCAACTACATGGGATGGATATAAACGGCCTGACATGCCCCGTCGTAGAAGTGAATAAAAGTGTCGTAAAATGTATGGAAAAGTATATAAAAAATACACGTTTTACGATCAAATTATAGTCAGTAGAGTATTTTGCATTGTTGACATTTTCGTTACTTTTTTATATTGCGGTTTAATGCTTTTTGCTGTTACATTTTTTTTGACATCGTTTTAATTGGATTTTTGCACACTTCCAGAGGTTTGAAGCGAGCTTTAATATGCGTGGTACTTTGTCACTGCATATATTTATATAAGTAGTGGTGCATGGCATCGTGCCTTAAAGCAAATTGCTGGAATTTTCCGTACCAAAAATTGAAAATTTTAAAAAAGATTTAAACTTTTTTTAGAACTTTCAAAAAATTGATTTTTGAGAAATTTGAAATTATTGAAAAAATTGACCTGTATTTTTTTTATACTTTGAAATATTTTGAATTTTTTTTTCAAAACAATCGCGATACGTTGCTGAGAAGCGTATAAACGAAATATCGAAGTCGCAATCTAATGGATAGACATTGGTACGGAACTCATAGAAATATAAACAAAATTTATTCTTGTCATAAAAATATCTATAAAATATCTGATAATTTTTGTCTGCCAAATGGCACATTTCTTTAAGTAAGTATCGCGGATACAATTTTTCATCGACGATTTCGAATGCACGGATCAACCAATTTGAATAATTCAAAAAACATTTGATTTCTATTGACGGCAATATGTGCTGATTAGTTTGATTAAAAATTTCAGTTTCATTTATCAGCAGTTTAAAAAACTTAATATTTCTTTATTACAATTTTATAACGTTGTTTTGAAATTATTATGTTAGTAACTTTTGTGCACCCTTATCAAAATACTGCGTAATAATTATATAAACATATTTTTTTATTTCAATTTTTGAAATAAGAAATATTATTATTTATTAGAAATAAAAAATAATAAATTAAATAAATGAAAAAGCTTGAAATAAGCGTTATTGCAAATAAATCTCTGCGCCACTGGGTGTATCTATTAATTTATAATCAATATTATTTTCTTATATATATATATTGTTAGCAGTATCTGCTTTGTTCCTGAAATAACAGATCTCAAAATAAAGATAAATAAATGAAAAAATGCAATGAAAAACCTAGTCTATCGACAATAAACAAAAAAAACTTTTAAAACTCTTGCTTGAGGCCGAATCAAATTACATTAAGTTGTCTATGAAACTACAAATAATAATATTAAAGTTTTAGTTTCTGAATATCTTATCATGTGGTCATTTGTTCCAGCATAATGTCAAAGTTTACACTACAAAATTCAAAAATAAAAAATTCAACTAGCTAAACTAAATGACTAAAGTAGCATTTATAATAAAACAATATTAAATATTTTAAATTCATGCTTTGTTATAATAACGTGTTAATTCAAAAATGAAATAGATAGTGTAAAAGGAAAAATTGCCATGCCAAACTATAGCCTGATCGACTCATAGCAGTTGCTGGAACTCTATTCATTTTGCTAAATATTGTTATGTAATGTTTTGTAAGAAAAATAAAGCAATATTAAATATTTTAAATGCATTCATTGCTATGATGGCGTGTTAATACAAAAATAAAATAAACAGAGCAAAAGCATAAATTGCTATGCCAAACTATAGCCTGATGGACCCGTAGCTGTAACTGGAACTTTATTTATTTGGCTGAATATTGTCATGCGATTTTTTTAAAAATTGTCAAACTTATTATTTTTCTACATATCCAATGTAATACATGCCATTGTATATAAAATCAATTGTAACAATATATCTAATTTATGAAAGAGTACAATACATGAGGGTAAAAAACTCAACAAAACAAAACAAAAAATATGTACATATTTTTGATTGAAAAAGAAATTAAAATTAATGACACATGACACATAAAATGAATAAATAATGACACAAAATGAACCAAGTAAAACTAATTGTATGTTCTATTTCAAAGATGTAAACTCTCGATATTCGCCTTTGTCATTTAATTCTTCCAATAAAGTGATGGTTCAACGCCCTCAGAATCCTTTCTATAAGTTTTTCCATCTATTTATTTAACTAACTATAATATATACCTACTTTTTATTGAAGCTTTTGCTCTACAAGATCAAAACTTTTCGGACTGCCCAAAACTACTAAAGAAAATCGCTCTTTCTCGAAATCTCTCGCCTCGAGGAGAACTGAGGCTGATGTCATATATAATAGTTCAGAGGATAAAATATCTTGATACTTATCTTAAATAGAATAAACACCGTTTTTACTTTACGATGAACAATGAAAACGTTTTCTTACTTAAATAAGGTTCAAAACCAAAAATAAGTTGTAAAAAAATGGCATTTAGTGGCTAAATCAGATCATGTTTACGCACACCCTTGATCAAATATTTGGTGAGATTTTATCGTTGATATATATACAACTTTTCAATATTTTTTCAGATTTTGTAACAGCATATAAAATAATATTTTTTGTTATTTACAAAAGTATTGAATGTTATTTTGACATTTTATAATTTTTTTTTTTGAGGGTTATCTTCCAACAAAATATTTTCTTCATACTAGGTTCCTCCAGTTTACAATTTCGTCATCTCTATAATTCCTAATCAAAATAAAACAAAATTACCAACTAGATGAATAATATGAATAAATAACAAAAAAATATGGGCTAGGGTCATGTTAGGGTTTATGTGAATTTCTCCTCCCTCAAAGAGAATAAATCAAAAGTATTGCCTATCAAGAGAAGATGTAAAAAGATATACATCACCAACAGAAATATATGTTTTCATCATAAAAAATATATGCGGCTTCAATGAATACATTTTCAAAACTTTGCATATTATAATAAAAATGAAATTAATTGAAAAAAATGGTATGATTTCAGCCATAACAATAAATAGTGTTAATATCTTCACGCATTTACTCAACATAATATATCAAATTAAATATAATGTTATAAAGCCATTAATGGTAATGGTTGTTTGAAAAGTTTGACTAATACTTTCAGCCTAATTGAACTTTTCCAAATTATTTCTTTCTTTTGCTGTCTTAGGATGATGTCACACGAGAAACTTTGATAGGGCAACCTCAGTTTGAATTCTCAGTATTTTATAATATATATTTTATTTATATATAGGCAAAATTCCATTAATAAAATATGGCAATATAATCAAAATAAAAATAATAAAAACAAATGAGAGGATTATATAACGAAATATTAGAAATATCTTATATATAAAATTCTTCTGTACGGGTGTATGTTTTGATACTTCTCCTAAAGGGTTATTCGGATTTTGATTATTCTTTCTAGAGTTTGTCAAAGAAATTTTTTAAGAATTATTGAACGATGAAACTACACTAATATAGTAGAAATAAATGGCAAAAATTACAAAAATACAAGTATCATTGTTTGACATTGTAAACATTTGATCTGTCATCTGCTAGAAATGTAAATTCCCTTGAAATTTTAATTTAGCTGATATCATGAGCCTAAATAATACTAGAATATAATATACAAAAAAAATGCAATGTCTACATTATTATTGCCGAAAAGCAGCTGAGATGCGACAGAAATTAAAATAATATATGATTCAGTCAATAGTATATGTTTGGCAGATAAATTATATAATTCAGTTTAATAAACAAGGCAATAAGTCCAAAGTTGCATATACATTATTTTTTAAACTCATGAATGTTGCATTTTGGTTTACTTTACTAAATTATTTAACAAAACAAAAAAAAAATTCTACTTTAATAAGTAGAAATTTTTTTTTGTTTTGTTAAATAATTTAGTAAAGTAAACCAAAATGCAACATTCATGAGTTTAAAAAATAATGCATATGCAACTTTGGACTTATTGCCTTGTTTATTATAAATAATGATTTAGAGTTTTGTTTCATGTGTCAAAAATTCATTTGTTTGGCATTAAATATGAAATATTTAGTAAGTTGATCTTACATTGAAGAGTGCTCATTTGAACTAGATTTCACAAATTAATTTACCTAAGTTTGAACATAAACAATGTTTATTAAATTATTAGCAAGAAAAATGTACTTTAGAAATTATAATAGCCAAAAAGCAACTAATATAACGTATGAGATTATGAAAATTATAGACTAAATTATTAAAGCAATTATGTTGTGTGGTAAAATCAAGTGTGATATTGTTCTTTTACCGCAGATACTATATTATATTTTTCTAAATTTCTTATACTGCTTATACTAAGACCATAAATGAATCAGAAAACAGGACATCGAATAGGATATTAAAAATTATAGGATAGGATATCAAAAAAATTGGAACTTTTGAATTGTAGACGTGGATACAGGACAATGTTGTCGGGTCACCTAGTATATATATATATATATATATATATATATATACGTCTACACCATTTGATATACATATCTCATATATGTATTCCAAACAGAAAAAAGAATAGTGGTTGACCACTGGGTTGTTCTCTCGAGTTAGATACTAGGTTAGGATATATAAATCTATTTCAATTACTATCTAAGAATACTACATTAGTACGATTATCTAAGTCATTTATCTTTTTTCAGAGTGTCCGCCTGCCATGGATGGAATGGAAAGGTTTGCCTGCCCTAAACCTGACCGACAAGGTCGGTACCACTGCATAGACGACCACGTTCTTTGCGATGGATTTATAGACTGTCCAGCTGGTGAAGACGAAGACCGACAGGCCTGCATGTTCTACAAAACGGTAAGTTTTGTATAAAAACATTTTTTAAACTTTTTGGCTAAAATCTATCTATGATAGATCTAATTTAGGCTAGAATGTCTGGACCTGAATCATAGGCCCCAGATTCGATTCTGCTTCGAGTCTGTTGTCAAGCAGTAGTGACAATGGTTTTTACTTGGTAAAATAGATTGCAATATTTTTCCAAGTGAAAATAGTCCTGATTCTGTATCAATAAATATTTGCTCTATTACAGAAATTGTAATAATAAAAATTATCACCTAGAAATAGGACAACTGTTTGAGTTGCCATCTGTAGAACCAACTAGTGTTAAGTCAAATTAGCACAACAACTTATAGGACTCTTAAGTTCTGATTGCTGTTCAAAATGAAATTAAAAGAATAGTAGATTTCAGTTAAATAAATCTTGATTTAATCTAGGTGTCACTCGCGTTTTTATTCAAGGCAAGTTTCGTGAACTTTTCAGTAAAATTAGGGCGTTGTGACGATCAAATTTTTAACAATTTTGTATTTATCTTACGTAGTTATCAAATTTGTTAAAACTATCCTTCGATAATTTAGGTTGTTGGATTACAATTTAACCCCTGTAGCTGTGGACTATGTTGAACACTTATTTGTTTGTATGTTATGCATTTGTTGCAGTTCTTATTACAATCACTTATTTGTTACTAAGTTATAATGACAGAAGATATATTTATTGGTTATTTATTAGAAATGAACAATTAGTCCTATTAAACTCTCCGCTACCCCGTGTAAAACTCAATGCCTTGAAGATTGACACCTTCATGGCCAATATAATAAAACGAAAATAGATCCGAACAAATTTTAAAATACAGTTTGTTATTCCTATAGGCCTGTAATATTTCAGCATGATCGTTTATACCATGATTTCTATAGCAATACAAAGTTTCGTCAAAATCGTCGAAAAAAAGTAATTACAAAAAAAGGCTTCGATTTTTATCAAAGCAGCACAATTTATAACTGATATTTTTTGAAGGGTTTTTAAATCACCCAAATCGATTCGGAACTTTTGGTGAAAAAGCGTACTATGTATTTTTCACTTTTTGCTGATTCTAAAAAAGAGGCTCAGCCTAACATCATGCAAAACTCTATAGTCCTCATTGAGTTTCATCCAATGGGTTTGAATTTTAAAAATTGTTGCAGCAGTTTTGGAGATACCTTCTAAAAAAAGTCAAATTTTTACACACATTTACTTTTTATAATTTTGCTCAGAATGTCTTGAAACGTTGGAAAAACATGAAAGTAGCAAGCTGGATTTTTTTGGCGTAAACATATTTTTTTCTAAATACGTGATCATCATTCGAATAACAATGTTTATAAAGGCAACAAATTACGTTTATATAGCAGTTTATAAACCATAAAGCAATTTAAATATTATCAAAACCATAAATGCTAAATGCAAAATGACTCATAATTTACTTTATTAAATTAGAAAATTTAGTCATAATGGAATCAAAAATCTGAAAATTATGATTTTCACCTACCACAATTGGCAATTTTGTTTTGATGATAGTAATAATTGTAATAATTTTTAGTGTTTTTAAACCAATACCAAAAATATTTACTGAAAATTATTATTAAGAGCAAAAAATAAAGAACTGTACCTACTTAATTTACTTCTAATGTTTGCTAATGTATAACACTGAAAATTGTGTCGATTTAGTATTTCTTATTATATTGATGAAACTAGATTTGGAATAAAACTTTTATGTGAAATCGCAAAACAGAATATTTTTGGAAGATATTATTATTGGCTTAAAACAGAATGGATACACGGATTTTCTTATATCCCCAGCATGATATTTCATTAATGATACGACAGAAAATCCAATTTTACGGGTCTTTTCCTATCCCATTCTAAAATATTTCATGTTTTCAGGGAAATATTTCAAAATATTTCATCTCTGATTATTATTTGAGTCTACCTTTATAAAAATCAATGCGGTAGGAACAAAATGAATAAATTGAATTTTGCACGCGGGCGCGGTAATGTAATCGACGAAATTCTGTAATTTGAACTTTTTTATTGTATTATTTATCATTTTATTATTTTTGCTTTTATGTTATGTATATATAGCATAATGTGAGGTACATAATGAATGTTTAATTTGTAAATGTTAAATTAGACATTAAAGTTAATCTAAAAAAATTGTACAATAGGTCATCAGAAGAAAACTCGTTAGTATTTGCATATTCGGAAATTAATTTCGCTTCGACATAATTCTGTCACCAATAATTTTGGACCCTATCACAGAATCAGAATATTTTAGTCTCTCTTATTATTATATACATTAGGGTGGTCCTTAAGATGGACATTTGTCAAATGGTTCCAAATTGATAAAAAAAAAACAATTCTCTGAAAGTTTTAGCTTTAAATATTAACTTTTAGATAGTGCGCAAATCAATCATACTTCGTATGGAAATAGCATGGGAAAAAAATTAGGTATAACTTAGCGACAAATGAAAATTTGTGCCAATTTTTATTGAAAATTCAACGCTTCGCAAAATTTTTGAAAAAAAAAATGCTATTTCCATACAAAACTTTGATTGAATTGCGCTTTATCTAAAAGACAATATTAAGAGCTAAAACTTTAGAAAATTATTTATTACCCTAATATACATATTATAATAACTGTACAATTATTAAGAGAAGTTTTAAATATTTGTACGAGTATATAAGAAATATGATGAAACTCTCATTAACAACAGATATCTTAAGATTCGAAAATAATCAATTATTATAAAATTATTATATTGTGTTGAGTATGAAATGGGAAATTTAACTTCACGAATACCAGGATGTTTTATTAACCTGTTCCAAACTAATTAATATATTCAATAAAACAGGAATTACATTGACCCGCCTACGGGTTCTGATTATAATGATGTTTTAATAAACTTTACAAAAAAATTAATATTCTATAAAAACATACCTTCGTTTTTGAATTTTTAATCAAACGACATGCCGATGTCGGGATGAATGGACGACTATGAAAATTATTTTGATCCAATAAAAATGTTTGTGGAAAAGCATAGTGGAGCTAATTAATTTAATAATTTATACTATATTAATTATATATTCAATAATAACGAAGGTTCTGTATCGATAATAATGTACATTTATAAAGGTACTGAGTATTTAAGTTCGGAATTGTGCTGAATTAGTTTTCATATAACTTAATTTATCAATTATTGAAAAAAAAAAAACTATAATAAATATATAATTGTAAAAAATTATTAATATAATGTAATAAAATACTATTATAAGTTATACAATAATAATTTGACAACAGATGGAAAATTATGAAATATATATTCATACATACATTCTGAATTTTTGGAGTCAATTTTTGGAGTGGAATAAAATTAGCAAAGTAGCTAACGAATTAATTAAACAACGTATCTAGAAATATTTAAATTGCAATAAATAACTATAAAACATAGTTATATTCAAGTGCACTATTATTGCCAATAAGTTAACTAATAATAGCAATAGTCTTTGAATAAAAAATATATAGCATTTTGTTAACACTCCAAATCATAATTGATTATTTTTTCGTTCAAATAATTATAATTAAAAATAAACATAATTGATTTTTTGCATGATTTGATTTTATGTTTATATTACCATTTAATTTACTTTTCTCCCAGCTAATTGAAAAGTAACAAAATTATTGCTGATCAAAAAAAGTGTCACAACCGTACCCAATCTCACCTACCATATATTCTGATTGTCTAATTAAATACAATAACTAGTGGTGCATGGCATTGTGCCTTAAGACAAATTGCTGGAACTTCCCGGAACGAAAACTAAATAATTAAAAAAGCTTTGCAAAATTTTGAAAAAATTAGATGACAGACTTTTTTGAAAAGTTAGTTTTTTTATTTTGTTTTTTTTTGTATTTTGATTTTTTTTGAAACTTCTGAAATTTTTTTTTAAAGAATTGCACTACATAGCTGATTTGGTGTGAAAATATCAAAGCGCGTAAGCGCCGCGTAGTCGTCTAACATGTTAACATTGGTACAAAACTCATATTAATGTACACAAAATTTGTACTTAATGTTATAATCTTTACAAAATATCTGATAATACGATGTATATATGTTTAATGCTCATTTTTGACCGCCAAATGGCATCATTTTTTACTTTTTTTATTGCATATACAGAGACGCTGGACCTGCCTTCACAAAAATTCTACCAGTTGTTTATTTCGTCAATACAAGTAAAATGTTTTTGAATTATTAAAATCGCTCCGTTATCTCAAAAACTGAATTACCATTTCTGGCATTTTTTGTCCCGTATCTCCGTAACGGCTAGACCTGCCTTTGCCAAAAACTAATCAACACATTATTTAAATCGGTTAAACTATAATATATTTAATGACTAATCGGTTAGTGTTCGCGAAATCGTCGTCGAAAATTGGTATCTGCGCACACATACACATACACACACACATACATCCATTTGTTCTAAGCTATGCCAAAATGTTCAGAAACCTCTGAAACGTAAAAATATATAAAAAATCGATTTTTTTGCGATTACTAAAACTTACTAAAAATGAGTTTCCTTTGTAATTCTATTTAATAGAATAGCATCTGTATTATCAATTTTATAGCTATATTACAGAAACATATAAATACTGGCATCTATTATATGCATTATACACAGTTTAAAAATAAATTACAGGATTAAATTTAAAGTAGACATTTATCAACGTAATTTTTTGTCATCATCAGACTTCATTATAATAAGTCTGCAGTCGTTCCATTGAAAGCGAAATAGAAAAACAAGAATATTTTTCGTCTGCTCGCTTGGAAGATTTTCTCAACAAATCCTATGTTTTATGTGAAGCATGTTATGATTTCTCAGAGTCCATTTTGATCGCAGCGATATAAATATTAAGATAAAACGCTCGAGACGTATCATAAAAGCGGTATAATCATATTGTAGGATAACTTATACTCTTTGATGATGGAAATATGAGTTGAATTTTCAGTATGCGGAAAATAAAAAGCATTAAAGCGAGCCGCTCCGCTCGGGGATTTTATTACATCATTTTCGAGTGCTCGCGCGGAGTGTCGGGCTCTGATTGCCACCGAAGGACGTTCGCTCGATGATAACCTTAAGGCTTAAGCACTTTTTTTACACCAAGAGGTGAGAACTGATATTTTTTTCAGGCTATTTCTGAAAATTCTTCGTTATTTGTTTATTTTTAAAATTAACTATGGGCCAATTATAAAGTAGAACAATGTTACGTAAGGGCAATGTAACCAGTGTCGGTCCTTCCTTGAATGCGATGCATGCAAAAAATGTGGGCGCACGCCTTAGGGGGCGCCAACATGAGATTCGGATATAAAATTTATAATATAGTTTTTTCAATATATTTTATTTGTATCTTATACTAATCTTAGTACTTTATTTTTAAAATTCGTTAAAAATTTAACATTAAAACAACAATTTCATACACGATGTACAATAAAGATGAATACATACAATTCGGCCCTTGCGCTGTCAATTAGTAGAAGTTTACGATGCAATTTTGAATATTTTAAATAATAAAAAATTATATTAAAAAAAATTCAACATGAAGTACGAGTATAACACTCTACTTTAAATAGAGATAAATGTCTACTTTAAATTTAATCCTGTAATTTAATTATTAAACTGAGTATAATGCATATAATAGGTACTATTATCTATATGTTTTTATAAAATGGCTATAAAATTGATAATATAGATATTATTTCATTGAATTATAAAAGATGTCATTTTTTTGTTTTGTTTAAATGGACAATCAAAATATATAGTAGGAAAGATTGGGCACGGTTCTGCCACTTTTTTTAATAATAAAAAACTAGTTTTTTTGCGCTTTTAGCATGATTTGCTCAACAAAATAAATAGCTTAATATTCCCAAAATAAATAAGTAAAATATTTCAAATATTAATATTACACATGCAAAGACAATTGAAAATTTAAAAATATTTTTGCAAACAATATATGTTGTTACTATATATTAAGTTCAATATATAATGAACTTGTTGCAATTTTTGGATGTCCTGAAAAGTTTGAATAGAAAATAAATTTTCTAAATAAATTTAAATCGATGTATTTTATACGCTTTTTTTAAAAGAATAGAATTGATTTTGCATTTCAATTAAGTTATAACTGTTAATTTTTTTAAATTTTATTTGGCCTCGCTTACTCTGAGCATTTTAGCCACCTACAACATTTTTATTTATTTATATTCTAATTTTTATATCATATTTAATTTATATATATAAAATTATATTAAAATAAACGTAAATGTTTAAATAATTATAATGATAATATATTAAAATATTTAAAATAATAGGGACTAGAAAATTTTAATTAGATAGTGAAAAATAAATGATAAATCATAAATTATGATACGTATTTCCTTGCAAATCTAGACCGCCTTAACTAATTGTAAATAATATTGTTATTAATTCGCACTATCTAATAAAAGAAGATTCCAAAAGGTTGCATAAATAAATAGCAATGGAATTATGCATATTATTTCACAAAATTGGACCCACTTTAATTATTTTCAATTAGCACGTTAATCGCCACAATAATGCCTAAAACTTTTAATATGGGTCGTGGTTATATTAAAATAATTTAGTTAAAAATGTATAAAAAAATTGACACAATTTCTGGAGAAAACAATATTGATGCATTGCTTTGTGAAATTGGATTTAACCTTATTAATTTCAATAAATATTATTATTGATTTAAATTTTTAGTATCCAATAGAATAAAGTCACTAGCAAAATTGTTCTAATTTTATATTTATAAATAAAAAAATAATTCATAGTTTTGAGTACTCTCATGATAAAAATGATTTTTCGGGCATATTAGAATTCTTGTTTAGATTCGGTCACGTTGTGTAATCAGTTTTATATATCCATATTAATTTTTCAACTTCTTTATTTACATGCAAATTATTGTTAAGAATATTAACAAGATTTTGCATTTGTATACCTCGTTCTGATTAGAACTCCCAAATTGTATTTATTACGATTAATGTATTAATTTCAATGAATATATTTTAAGTATCTAGTCATTGAAATATATTTTTAATATACTTATAATATATATATATATATATATATATATATATATATATATATATATTCTACAAATGAATAATTAGTACGAACTAACGTAGCATTTCGAATTTTTATTTTGGTTTATACAAGTATTGGACCTGCTCTTAATCAATTTATTTTTTAATATTAAATGTAGTTGATTTGCAGAAATACCTAATTATTTGATTAAAAAATGAGATTATTTAATAATAATCTATTACAATTTTTTGTGAATTAACAAAAGTAACGTTTTCAACATCAAAATCTTTTTTCTAAAAGATACGCCTTAAAATTTGTATTATTTTATGGTGTATCTTTTAAATAAAAGATTTTGATGTTAAATGTATATCACTTCTATTTTTAACAAAAATGTGTTAAATTTTAAAAATTTAGAGCTGTAAAAGAGATTACATTAAATCTATATAAAATCGGATAATTAAAGACATGTAAATATCTAAATGCGACAAATTTATTAAAAACATAATACAATATATACGACAATTACAAAAATAACATAAGGTGCCTGGTTTTATTCAATTCGTCCACACTTGATAGTTCAAATACGGTCTGAAATATGAAGAAAACAATTGAAATAAATTATCGAAAAAAATAAAACGAAATATTGAGAATCATTTTGATATAAATTATTCACCATAATCCAAAATTAGATCTCTCAGGTAAAACTTGTTGGAATTGCCTTGCAGGTGTTTTCGCCTTGGCGACGCGTCGTCCATAACGTTAAAATAACAAAATAATCCTAAGTTTTGTAATAGTCAGGGGTTAAAATATAATTTATTTTTAAATTTTCCGTCCAGTTGCACTATAATATGATCATCAAGACCATTGCAACGAAGGCGACAATTCCAAACAAGTGCATTTCTACACACATCTTGAATAAATAAAATATTTCGTATCTAAAAATTTAAAACATAAATTAATACTGATAAAATTTGGTTTTGCAAATGTCGCACTTACCTTAATAACTATGGCTTTGCTCCAATAAAATCGAAATTATTCGGTTAAAATCCAAATTAATTGAAGCAATAATAGCATAGAGGACTTTCTTCGATTAATTGTTTGATACTACAAATAATTATGACATTTTCAATGATCATTGAGTAATGTATAGCTTATATTGTGATCAATTATTACATACGCTAAAATAATAAAATAACAATCCTAATAGTTCTAAAATGGTCAGGTAAAATGACAATTTATTTCTAAATTTTCCGTCCAGTTGCACTACAATATAATCATCAAGATCATTGCAACAAAGGCAACAATTCCAAACAAGTGAATTTCTGCGCACATTTTGTATTAATGGGAAATATATGTATCTAAAAATTTGAAACATGAGTTAATACTGGAAATATTGTCTTAAGAAAATATTTTTTCCACTTACCTTAATAACTATATCTGTAATAATAATATCAGGTTTGTTCAAAGAAGAATCATCAGAACGAATGCTACTAAAACTATAAATCCATAACAGTGAGCTTCAAAACACATGTCCATTATTTTTGTGACATTTAAAATTGCATTATTAAAACTAAACTTTTTCAAGATTTTTAAAATTAAAACCGGAATAAATATTTTCTATCGTCGTCTTTGCGATGCCAACACCTACTTGTGAACTGATTTCAACAGGTATACAGGAAATGTTTCAAAATTTTTTGTTGCTAAAACAGGTATCTGTAATATTTGCTTTTATACAGCGACAGCTATTATTGATATTATGTCTTTGGTTTTTGGGATCATTACCTGTGGTAAATCGTAGACAAATATTAAACCAAGCTTTTAAAATTCCTGGTAACAAACCTTTATCGTGCTGATATATTTATGGTAATAAAAGTGTGTTGCTGTTTTTGGTTAGTGTAAATGGATGTTTTGTTCTATAATTAAACATCAGTATTTGATCACTGGACTGTCCATAAAAATAATTGTTGTTTGCTATAGTCTACTGTATCCAAAAATTTCCATCAGAACACTTTCACTTTTACTGCGTATATTTTACAAGTTGAGAATAGAATCCTCATATATTTTTTGCTTAATTGTGTAAAAATAGTGTGAAGAAATTTATTTCATTTTTTTAACACAGTCGGGATATAAAAGGATGAAATGTCGAAAATATATGTGTGTTTCACCAAATATTATTTTAGGCACAGTTTTGTAGGTAAATGACTATTTATATACTATATGTTATTTGATGCTGTATTTTTAATTTTTTTTTATTTACGTTTCAATTATAGTACTAACTAGCTGTAAGTGGAATTCTGTCTTAAGGCAATTAGGGCATCGTGCCTTAAGGCAAATTGCTGGAACTTCCCGTACCAAAAATTATTATTTTTTTAAAAACGATTAACATTTTTGAAAAAATTTACTTCGAAAAAATAAGATTTTTGACAAACAATCAGACAAAAAATTACTTTTTTAAAAAAAAAATTTTTTTTTTAATTTTTTTTTTTGAAAAAAAATATTTTCTTCATTTTGACATATTTTGAAAATCTAAATTTTTTTTCAAAGCAATCGTACTACTTTAACTGCATAAAGACGAAATATCAAACCGCGTAAGCGCCGCGTCGACGTCTAACGCGTAAACATTGGTACGGAACCCATAGGAATGTAAACCAAAATTATACTTATTGTTAAAATCTCTATAAAATATCTGATAATTTGATGTGCATATGTCTAATGATCATTTTTGACCGCCAAATGGCATTTTTTTTTACTTTTTTCATTAGATCTCCGAAACCGCTAGACCTGCCTTTATGAAAATTTGATCGGTTCTTCACCTTGTCAATACAAGTAAAATGTTTTTTGAATTATTAAAATCGGACGCTCCGTTCTCTTAAAAACCAAGTTATCGTTTTCGGCACTTTTTGCCCCGTATCTTCGGAACGGCTGGACCTGACTTTGCCAAAAACTAATCAGCACGTCTCCTTATCAATACGAATCGAACGTTTTTTGAATTATTCAAATCGGTTGATCGGTGTTCCCGAAATCGTCGACGAAAATTTGTATCCGCACATACATACACACACGCACACACACACACACACACACACATACATCCATTTTTTCTAAGGTCTAAGGTTCTAACCTTTGAAACGTCGAGAAATGCAAAAATTTTTATTTTCGATTTTTTTGCGATTACTATACCTGCCCTACGGGAAGTTAAAAATTGACTTAAACTTGATATGTTTTGATAGTTTTTATGGCAAAGCTTGTAGGTGTAACAGAACAATTAATTCTTTGCTTTTGTTTTCAATTATGTAAGTAATAAACTGCATCGTCATATTTTACTTTTTTATTTTCACAATCTTTATTTGTTTATTATAAGTGTATACAAAAATATAATAATAACTAATTGGACACCTATCCAATTGATATCAATACAATCATTCAAATTACATAATAAAATATGTTATGCTGGAATTAACAAATATGTGATATTGATAATCTACAAAAAAACATAAACATATTATCAAAAACCATAAACAATCACATTTCACTTACAAACTATAAAAATATTTTTTGGATCTTTTATTTGAGGTACGATTTGTATATTATTAAGACTGTAATTGTTTCGTTATGTTTAGAAAATGACGATTTTGGAGGGCACCTCATTAGTTGTGATGTGACATATTTTTTTAAATATCTACCATAAATACTATCTTTTGTTTTTTGAATAAATAAAATATTTGTACTAAGCACAGTACATGTATACAAGCTTAGAATATAGGCGGCTTATTTTACAAAATATATTGGAATGTTAGTTTAGTAGACCATGAACTCTTATCAATACACAAAGTTTAATCAAAATCGTCAAAAATAATTTTTATCTGATCCAATCTATACTGAAAACTAATCCGCACGATTTCCATCTAATATTTTTCGTATTTTTTTTTTTGCATATAAATTATAATCTGTCAATAGATACACATTGAGTAATTGATTTGAGAATTAGCAGTAGTGTTTTAAAAAGAAAACCCAATTTACTTTTTTATTTTTGTACTGCACATATAATTTTTATTTTATTTTACAAAAAAAATATAAAATGCACATACAATTATAAACACAAGTACACTACACGTGCACATTCGTAGTATGGTGACATAACATAATCTAAACTATATATGACATAATCATGAGTTAATATAATAAGTTGTATTATCGCCTATTGTGTTAATTTAATTAAATGAGGTCTCTTCAGTCCTATTGTTAAATTATACGTGGTATTGTACAGATTTGCTATAAGTTCATTTTGCTGTTTTCAAAGCTGTGTCTTTGTACTTAAGAGCACTGTAAGGGAGTATTCTACTGTCTACACGTGCACATTCGTAGTATGGTGACATAACATAATCTAAACTATATATGACATAATCATGAGTTAATATAATAAGTTGTATTATCGCCTATTGTGTTAATTTAATTAAATGAGGTCTCTTCAGTCCTATTGTTAAATTATACGTGGTATTGTACAGATTTGCTATAAGTTCATTTTGCTGTTGGTCAAAGCTGTGTCTTTGTACTTAAGAGCACTTTTTTCATTTTCTCCTCTGTATTGTTGTGCCGAAATGAAATAAATGCCAGAACATATCTTGGTGCGAAATTTTCAAAATTGGATCGGAATTTTTACTTTCCTTTTTTGCGTAAAATTTCACTTTTCTGCTAATTTTGATACGTCCTCCTTATCAAGTTTAGAGTCGGTTCAGCCCTTTCCAAAAAAAAAAACCTCGACAAAATGTCAAATATTAGCCCACGTACACATACCGATTATTATGTGGGAAAATTACAAGATCGGAGATTTTGAATTTTTTTTTAAATTCCAGTTTTTTGCCACTTGACCCCCAATTGTGCCTTTAGATTTGTGTTTAGTGGTAAAAACTATATTGGAAAACATATGTCACACATCCAATACAGACAACTTTTTTATTTTGTGGACCTGTGAAATTCATAATAAAACTAGTGGGGCGCATGGCATCGAAATTGGTGGAACTTCCCGTACCAAAAATTATTTTTTTTTTAAAAGATTAACATTTTTGAAAAAAATTACTAAAAATTTACTTTTTTAAAAAAAGACTTTTTGAAGAAAAGTGTATTTTGAAATAATTTGGAAATTCTGAACTTTTTTTCAAAGCAAACGCACTGCTTTGACTGCATAAAGACGAAATATCGAAGCGCGTAAGCGCCGCGTCGCCGCCTTACGCATAAACATTGGTACGGAACTCATAGAAATATAAACAAAATTTATACTTATTGTTAAAATCTCTATAAAATATCTGATAATTTGATGTGCATATGTCTAATGATCATTTTTGACCGCCAAATAGCTTTTTTTTTTACTTTTTTTTACTAGATCTCCGAAACCGCTAGGCTTGCCTTCATGAAAATTTGGTCAGTTTTTCATCTCAATACAAGTAAAATGTTTTTTGAATTATTCAAATCGGACGCTCCGTTCTCTTAAAAACTGAGTTACGGTTTTTGGCACTTTTTGCTCCGTATCTTTGGAACGGCTAGACCTACCTTCGCCAAAAACTAATCAGTTCGTCTCCTCATCAATACCAATCGAATGTTTTTTGAATTATTCAAATCGGTTGATCCCGAAATCGTCGACAAAAATTTGTATCCGCACACACACACATACACACACGAACACATACACACAAACACACACACACACATACATCCATTTTTTCTAAGTATACCAAAATCAGAAGCCTTTGAAACGTAAAGATATATAAAAATTATATCATTTTTTATTTTTTTGCGATTACTATAACTTGCCCTACGGGAAGTTAATAATATGTCAATATTTAGTATGGAAACTTCATCATAACATAGCCTTCACCATAACATTGTTCTGTTATGCGGCAAAATCGGTCCATTAATTTCTATTAGCTGTACAAAAAAAATCTTCGAATAATTGTCAAACTATTGAAAACTGCACATACACATTCAAACATTTGCTAATTATTGTGTGCATAATGACTTGTAACGTCGAGAAAGCATAAAATTAGCAATTCAGTTTTTCTAACAAAAACACAAACTCCTCTTTCGAGATGCTAAAAATACACTTTTGTCTCGATACAAAAATGCTTGTACCGAACAGCCGCTAATCGAATTGGAGCTGACATTTCCTGTATTCTTTCCTGTATCTATTGCCATTGTCGCGGCGGCTTAGCAGCCACGCGCCCGCAGCACCGCGGGCGTCAGCCGCCGCACGTGTGCAGCATCTATTGTGTCGCATTCAAAGCGCTAAATCGCTTGCGCCGCGTGACATATCTGATTTGCATATTGCAAACAATGTCGAATGTCGAATGCCGTGCGTGAGCCGATACACGAATACCAGATTTTCGAGATTTGCTGACATCGTATACACTGATTCTGAAGTTCATTTGAGGATTTAGTGCACCTCATCACTGCTCGATAATGAGTGATAGAATTTCTTCGATAAATTTCAATTTGAGCAGCTTGTTTCCATTAGAAATATACTAGATTTTAGAATTTGCTTTTGGGGATTTAGACAACATTTTAAAAAAAATAATTTATAAAAGATAAATATCATAAAAATTTGAAACTACATTTACTTACTAGCTATTCTTGCAAAAATGTATGGTAATAAGTAATGTC